ATGCTTAGCAATTGATTGTAAATGTTCTCTATTACTACCCTTGAATGTACTATTTATAGTTTCCATATCATGGTAGCTAGAAATAATATTCATTGGTAATTTGCATTATAATTTTTCATTTGTAATTTGCAGTATAATTTTTCATTTGCAATTTGCATTATAACTATCTATCGGACCACTTGAAGTTTTTCGAAACAAGAGAACCGCCTAACAACAGTAAATAACAAGCCAGTTCTTAACTTTTGAAAAGTTGTAGCATGTGGAATTCGCATTAGCGAAAAAGTTTATGTCAGTAAGTAATTATGACGATTATCCTCCTTATCCCTTTTTAAATAAATTGATTGCATTTGAACTCATTCTTCATAAAAATAATATGTTTAAAATTTTAAACTTTTTTTCCTATTAGGAAAAATGATTGTTTCATTTTCTATTTCCTTCATGTTTGCTCTTTGATGATCTTTGGTGTGTTTGTTTTCCATAACAAAATGTTTGTATGAAAATTTAAAAACGAGATGGTGGTTTTACTTAGTATTTTTTCTTTAGCACAAAAGATGACATATTTCTTGTTTTAGTTGATATGTTCAAAAAAAAAAAAGTTGATATTTATCAGTGACAAAACATAAGAACTGTACCAAACCTCACCATCAAATTAGCTACTTGAGTGGCCCCCTTCATTCTATGTATTTACTTCTTATGAAATGTTCAAATAATTCATCTTAGGATTATTTTGGTACTTTTTCGTGTAGTTTTTCAGTTTTCAAGTATATACTTATCATTATGCTATCTTTCCCAACTTTTTCTTACTAACTCATCGCGTATTATTAGATTAGTGAATCTCATTATGTCCCACCTACTTTACATTTGATGATTATGATTGTGGTACATTAGTTGGTCCACAAAAGTTATAAAAATATTTGGTAAGAAAATTGTTATTGTGTAATTATTCACCTTTAATAAATTTTCTGCTATGAAACGGTAATTTACTATCTCACAATGAGATTATTTAATATATATTTTTTTAGGAATTATAAAATTTAGTTTCATTCTATGTTTTTTCGGTAAGAAATATCTATCATTAAACCAAAAGGTTGAATATGTATACATTGTATACCAATACTTACAATATATAAACCAGAAACAAAGACAAATTTCCAAGGATGGACAGTCTTTTAATTCTATTATGTAAAAAAAAAAATCCTATTATGTAGAAGATCATTCATCCTTAAACAAAAAGCCACATAACAGGGTTCAATCCTCTCAGAACCACAAGCAAAACAAACAAAGATTCATCAGTCCAAGCACCACAGAAGATTCATCAGCACAAACAAACCAAGAAAATTCATCACAACACAATCAAAAACATAAGACATCCATAATCAAAATAAGGTGCAGAGTCCCCACAACACCAACATCAACTCATCAGATCCAACAATTCATAACCACTTTCCTCTCCTCAAACATACCTACACATTCTCAAGGAGGTTCAAAAATTGTTTCTGATAGTTCCCATTGCTTCTGAAGCGAAAGATTTGGCATATTTTTGCTCACACCTTTGATTAGATGGAGTTCATATCTTGTATTCTCAATCATCTCATTTATTAAGGAACTAACATCCTGGAAGTTGTTCTTAAAAACTCTACCATTTTTCTCTCTCCATATTAAGTAAACTGATGTAGATAAAGCAAGTTTGCTGATTAGGTTGCTCAAACCCCTTCCTTTGATGTTTGCAGCAAACCAAGGAATGAAACTCTGCCAATTCACATTAGGCCATTGAACACCACACTTCATTTGGAGAGAAAACCACCGCCTATGAGTATAAGGGCAGTTGAAAAAAGGTGATTATGGGTTTCACTTTCTCCTCTACAAAAATAGGCACTGACCACTATTAGAGATATTGATCTAGACTCAGAATTAGTTAAATTTTTCTTGATGGCAGCTAGCTCATCTCAAATTTGTTTGACTAGCCAAAAATTCAGTTACAGACTCATGGTTTTCTTTGTGAATCCTTTGGAGATCACGATACAAATTAAACTCCCTTTCTTCAGAACTAGATGCAAAACTTTGTTCAAGAAAATTCCATACCTCAAGAGCAGAGTCCATACCAATAATATGACTAAGAATGTTTTCTAAGACAGTTGCTGTGATTAAACTCTTCAATAGGCTATCTGTTTTTATCCAAGACTTATACTCTGGATTTGATTCTTCTTTTCCTTCATCATTGGTAATGAGAGGAGCTGGGTGCATGGCATTGCTTCATAAGTGATCTAAGAGATCTGCACTAATAACAAGATCTTGAATTTGGTTTTTCCAAATCAGATAGTTCCTGGAAGTGAGCTTCACATTCACCATAGATATCAATTGTGGGATATTACTAGAAAGATTAAGATAGGTAGACATTTATGTACCAAAAATGTAGAAATGTGGAGGTTCTTGTGGCTCTGATACCAAAAAGAAAAACTAGATTAAGATAATAAAGAACCTCTTCAACTATCTTCCTACAGAGGCTCTGTTTTTTATATATACAATACATATGAATAATACATTTGGTAGACTTAGAATTACAACAAAACCAAAAGTCTAAATACTAGAGATAAGATAATTATGCTTAGTCTATTTTAATTCTATCCTTCAGCTGATTATATGGACTTGAAATAATTGTGAGTAAAAGGAGATACTCAAATTAAGAGTAAAACCCCGTATATATAGACAAAATATAAAAATCATAGTAAAGGTAAAAAAGGGAAAAGAAATCCTAATAAACCTAGGAAAATAAATCCTAATAAACCTAAACTATCTATACTCCAACACTCCCCCTCAAGCTAGGCGCAAAAATGTCAACTAAGTAAAGCTTGACAACGGAGTCCCGAAGAATAGACAGAGTGACAGGTTTGGTAAAAACATCTGCAACTTGATCACTGGTCCCCACAAACGATGGAGTAACAAGGCCACTGCTAACCTTCTCCCGAAGAAAGTGAACATCGATCTCTATATGCTTCGTTCTCTCATGCTTCGTTCTCTCATGTAGTACAGAGTCAGAAGCGAGCTGAATAGCAGATTGATTATCACAATATAATGTGGATGGAGAGGTCACTGAAAAACCCAACTCGTCAAGAATCGATCGTAGCCAGATAATCTCACATGTGCCAAGTGTCAATGCCCGATACTCTGCCTCTGCGGACGAGCGGGAGACAACTGCATGCTTCTTGCTCTTCCAAGAGATAAGATGAGTCCCTCGAAAAGCACAGAAACCCGTAGTAGATCGACCATCACATGCTCCCCCATAATCTGAATCTGAATAACAGGCTAGAGAACCGGTCTGAGATCCTTCACATCGAAGGCCTTCCCAAGGTCTATCTTGACCTGGTGAACAACTTTGGCGCATGAAAAACCGAATGTAATATAAGGCCATCTGGGAGACGGATTGTACCCCTACTAACAATAGGGGCATGTGTTCTATCTGCTAACTGAACCTGTAGTGGTGACAGCAGCAGTAGTCAGACTCTGAGAAGTCAGAGCAGACATAAGTATATCTAATCGGGAAGTGATGCAATACGGACTCGACGCTCATGCTGCTCAATCATCCCATACACCTCATAAAGAGAAGGAAGTGTCAACATCGACAAGATCTGAGAACGAGGTCCCTCAAACTCATCATGAAGCCCCATAAGGAACTTGTGAATCCTATCCTCCTGCTCTCGAGTATGCAAGAATGCTGCTCCCTCGGGCTCTATCTTCGGAATAGCAGCAAGAGGACGTAGAGACTCATACTCAAGCCAGCGCTGGGTCAAATAGCCATAATAATCCTGAACGGTCATATCTCCCTGCTGAGCATATGAGAGCTCCTGAGAAAGCTCATAAACACGAACTCCCCGTCCTGACTGAGAATACATCTCTGATAATGCGCTTCATAGCTTCGGAACAGAGCTATGAAACTGGTGGATCTTGCAAACAGAGGGCTCCATTGAGCCAAATAACCATCCAAGAATGACACAGTTTTCAGAGAATCATGCAGAATATCCAGGGTCGGCATCAGCTGGCTTTGGGTGAGATCCCGTCAGCCAACCAAGCTTCCTTACACGGCCTAAGAAAAGCTGGAATGAGCGTGACCACTCAGCGAAGTTACGACCATTCAACAATTGTGCCGTAACTTTTTGAGAGATCATGCCTGGTAATGCTGGTAATGCAACTAGACCCGTTGAGATCTCGTTCCAAGAACCTAGATTATATTAAAATCTAGACCCGTCTGAAGAACCCAAATTACAAGCAAGAACGCCACAAAGGATGTGATTTACCTTTGATAAGTTCAAAAGTTCAATCAAGAACAAGAGGAGTAAACTCAACTCAATTCACAATCAAAATTCATTATAGATTGTCTCAACGGTAGAGGTGTCAACAGTAGGGTTCTCAAGTCCCTCAGTAGTAGTCATATCAACAACAATACTAGGGCACCCGTGACAGAAAAATAACTCTAAGATAAATAGAGGAATAAAATAAGGGAGAACAATATACCTTCAGTCGAACAGTAGCGACAAATAGGGAAGGTCCAAAAAGCTCCCAAATAATCAAGTCACGGTGCCCAGAAATCCAAAATATATAAATAAGTGATCTACTGCATCAAGGGCAGATCAACAGAAAAGAGGATCCGCTCCCTCCCAAAAAATTCCTAGAATAAAATCACAACGAAAGTTGTGACCCAGCAGTGGGCTGGTTTAGCATATGGTTATGGGCTGGTTTGGCATATGGTTATGGGCTGGTTGTTTGTTTGCTGTCGGTGGTATTTGTCAGTGCAGGTGAGGATCGGTATGGACTGGTTGAACTGGTATGGATTGAGGTTGCTACAAGTGTTGGATACGAGATGGCCAGTGACAGGGCAGTAACCATGGAAACTCCAATAGCAAACTTGTCCATAAGATCATCTTCAGTCAGATCAAGCACCTCTGGGTTAAAAACTGAACCATTGTCATAAACAGACAGAACTTGCAGACCATAAGAGAAGGGTCTTATCCCAAGTTTTGCAAGCAGGGCAGCCTCAGAGGAATAAGGTTGAGGTAGGCCTTGTTGCCGGTCTTCTCAGAATGGATTCTGATGGACCTCTTCATCATAGTATTTTTCCCCATCAGCACGATAGAGTCTCCACGAAGTCCCTGCCTAATATTCTGCAACTGGTTCGATCCGACATTGTCGGCCGCGGCGATGAGGACCTGGGTGTACTGATCAAGAAGTTGGCACAGCTTCTGATCATAAGCGATCTTCTTTTCGGCCTTCGATGTTTTCACCGCCATTGATTCTGATGAGCTTGAGCTTCAAAGATATAAGTATATGTATAGATTCAACAGAGTGTACAAGACTAAGGCCTAAAATTGAACGGAAGAGATTGGGCAAAAACGAGGGCCAAGACGAAGCGACGGCTTGATCAAGGCGGACAGCAATGACGCCGTCACTTTAACCTCTCCTATTCACTTTCAGGTTGTTTGCTGAAGAAAGAGAAACCCTAACCACTGGATTAAGGTTGTGGTGGACTGGTATAAGGATGGGCAGTCGGTGGACTGGTTTTGTCACTGGTTTGGTCGATTTCGCTGGGCAGCTGATGGCCAGGGTGGTTTCGGCGGTATGGCTGGAAGAGCCATACACTAACCCTACCCCAAACCCTAACCTTGCTCTGATACCAACTTGAAATAATTGTGAGTAAAAGGAGATACTCAAATTAAGAGTAAAACCCCGTATATATAGGCAAAATATAAAAATCATAGTAAAGGTAAAAAAGGGAAAAGAAATCCTAATAAACCTAGGAAAATAAATCCTAATAAACCTAGACTATCTATACTCCAACATATGGAGTAGATTCATCATTATCATTTGATGTAGCTTTCTCAGGAGCAGTCGGTGCAACAGTCCTTTCTTGAGTGGAATTCATCACTTGAACAATCCTTCTTGGAGCAGACTGTCGTGTAGTCGGTGGAGCAGTCCTAGTCGGTGAAGCAAGAGCAGTCCTCCTAGTCGGTGCAGCAGTCTTTATTGGAGCAGATTTTGAGTGTAGAGCAGTCCTCCTAGTTAGTGCAGCAGTCCTTATTGGAGCAGATTATGAGTCTGGATCACTATCTCTAATAACCACTATGGACCACCCCATGGATTATAGTTCTATCATGAGTAGCAAGCCTATGTTGTATTGTCAATCATAAGACAAAACTAAATCTAGGAACTATATTTCAGTACCAAACAATGCTAGTCCAACTCTGATATTGCCCTTTAGGTCTGATTGCCTCCCATGCTGATTGGATGCTAAACGTTGTTGTATTTAGAAACCATTTAATACTGTCCTCTCTTTTTGGAGTTGGTTGCATGTCAGCATGGGTTTGGATTGTTATACCAGGCCAACTCCAGCAATCATCGCTAATAATTCTACTCACTCAATCATCAATATCAAAACCCAAGCCCTAAGGATATCATCCCCCACCTGATTATAGAAGGGGCCTTGAGGATGCCATGGATCATGCCATAAAAACGCGGACCTTCCATTACCAATATGATAACAAATCGAAGGCATACAAATCCATCTTAGGCTCAGTATTTTCCACCAAGCCCAAGAGGAATTTTGAGGAGTCTTCACTCCCCAAAAACTTATGTCCTTTAAGAGATACATTTTAACCCAGCTTGTCCAGTTGGACTCTTCATTCACAGAAATAATATACCATAATTGTTTCAGGATAACAGCCTTGTTCCAAATCTTCATTGATTTGATCCCAAATCCCCCCTCTTTTTTAGGAAGACATATCTGAACCCGTGCAACTTTAGCACCTGTACCTTTAAGATCAATCCCAATCTATACAAATCTCCTCATGACTTATTCAACTGCAACCACCACCCTCTTTGGATGGATGAACATAGAAGACCAGTACACTTGAATAGAAAAAATGATGGAATTAATCAACTAGATTCTCCTTGCACAAGAGAGGTATCTACTATTTCATGATCTCACTAGCTGTAATTTTTTCCACGAGGGTTGTACAATCAGCAACTTTTAACTTTGTTGTTATAAGTGGCACTCCTATATAAGAAGTAGGCAACGTCCCCTTTATGAATCCCAACAATTGAAGCATTTCATTCTTAACATCATCACTCGCACCAGAAAAGACCAGAAAAGAACACAAGGCTCTTAGCAAGCTTGGGTTTCATCCCAGCGAATTCTTCAAATATCTGTAGCACCTCTTGAATAACCCTCACTAATTTCACTTTACCTTGTTGGAATCTAGAAGACTATCACACATTCACTAAAAAAATATAATGGAAGAGACTATTGAAAATAAAAAGTACTCTTTCTATTTACTCATATCCAAGTGGATGTATTACATATAATATATATAGTCTCTCCTGACACACAAAATAACCTCACTACATAATGCAATAATAAAAATAATAAAGATCTCACTCCTCCATTACTTGAAAAATTAAAATATCACAATTACTTTGTCTTTCACTAATACCAAATTGATGACCCACTAATACAAAAAATTAAATGCATAAAAATAACTCCTAGAACATGAAAATTTATGTTTATTATTATTTTTCCAACACCCCCCTTAAACCTGATTTTTCTTCTCAACTCTAAGCAAAGTTCTCAATTTACAAAAAACATCCTCTTTGGGGGACTTAGTGAAAATATCGGCAATTTGATCTTGAGACTTCACAAACTTAAGCTCCACCTCTTTCTTGGTCACATACTCTCTAATGAAATGGAATCTTGTGTCAATATGTTTACTGCGATCATGAAACATCGGATTCTTTGCCAAGCTAGTGCCGATTTGTTGTCAATGAAGAACTCCATTGATTCTTCTTGAGGAAAATGAAATTCTTTCAACAAATTTCTAAGTCAAATGGCTTGACAAATACATGATGTAGCCATCACATACTCGGCTTCACAAGTCTAAAAAGTCACAATGGGCTGCTTCTTTGAACTCCAAACAAATGTAATATCTCCCATGAAGAAAACATATTCAATAGTACTCTTTCTATCATCCATATCTCCGGTCCAATCATTATCACAATAACCTACAAGTTTGGAATTGTTAGAACAAGAATATAGTAATTCATAATCAAGTGTACCTTTGATGTATCTAAGAATTATTTTCGCCGCCTTCAAGTGGGTCATGGTAGGTGCTTACATATAGCAACTTACAAGACCAACACCAAAAAGAATATTCAGGCTTGTGCATGTTAAGTACCTCAAGCTTACCACTAGACTCTTGAAATGTGCAGGATCCACATACTTTTCATCTTCATATTTTAACAATTTTACACCACATTCAACAGGTGTGCATACAAGCTTACAATCTTGCATCTTGAATTTTGTCAAAATTGTTTTGGCATAACCTTCTTGAAAGATGAAAATACCTTCATTCATTTGCTTCACTTCAATGCCAAGGTAGTATGACATAAGCCCAATGTCGGTCATCTCAAATCTTTTAGCCATTGCTCTCTTAAAATCTTCAAACATTCTTGGACAATTTCCTGTGACGATCAATTCATCCACATGCGCACAAGCAAGCATAGAGTATATCACCATTATCATTCACCTTTGTATTAAGGACATGTTCATGGGGACACTTGGTGAAATTATTTGCTTGAAAGTATTTGTCAAGTCTACTATCTCAAACTCTTGGTGCTTGCTTCAAGTCATACAAAGCTTTTTTTCAAGACTTTCTCTTTTTGCCCTTTCACAACATACACCTCTTCATCAAGAAAGTCATTCAAAAAAGCAAACTTTACATCCATCTGATGAATTTTTCAATCATTTAGAGCAGCTAAAGAAATAATTAATCTAATTATTTTCAAACAAATAATGAGTGCAAATACCTCATCACAGTCAATACCCGGTCTTTGACTATAGTCTTTTGCAACTAACCTTACTTTGTACCTCTGCACTTCACCTTTGACATTTTTCTTTGTCTTGTACACCCACTTCACTACAATGTTCTTTTGTCCTCTAGGGAGTATGGCAAGCTTTCATGTTCTATTTCTTTCAATAGCTTTAATTTCTTTATTCATGGCACTTCTTTACTTCTTGTCTTGTGCCGCTTTTGCATAACCTCTGGGATAACAATCGGCAAATAGACAAAATAGTGTTAGATCACTAAATCTTTGAATTTCCTCGTCGATTTTTTCATAGATATCTCGAAGACTCCTCATACGAGGTGACCTTTCACTTGAGCTTGTATCAGATAATGATGGAAATGTTTGCACATTGGTGGTTGATGGTGAAGGAGAATAAATGGGCAGCTCCATGATCTCATTATTGGACTCCTCCTCTTTTTCAAGAATGAAAAAAAATCGTAGTCTTCTTGTGGAGTGTTCCAATCCCATTCATTTTCTTCATCAAACTTAACATCTCTACTAATGATTATCTTGTCATTGCTTGGGTTGTAAAGCTTGTAACCTTTGTTTCTTGAATTAATCATAGCCAATGAATATAACTTTTCACTCTTGTCATCTAGTTTGGTTCATTTCTCATCCAGCATAAGTGCATAACATACACTTCCAAAGACCCGCAAATGAGAAATATTTGACTTGATTCCTCCTCATGCTTCTTGTGGTGTTTTGTCTTGAACACTTCTAGTGGGACACCGATTTAACAAGTAGATGACACAATCAATAGCTTCCGCCCAAAACTTCTTGCGCATTTTTTTACTTTTCAACATACTCCGAGCCATGTCAAGAATGATTCGGTTCTTCCTTTCGGTAATACCATTTTGTTGTGGTGATCTTGGAACCATTAGAGGACGGCGAATTCCATTTTCTTCACAAAAAATTTTGAATTCATTTTATGTGAATTCACCTCCTCTATCAGATCTAATTGTCTTGACTTCATACCCACTTTGTTTTTCAATCAAAGCCTTAAACCTTTTGAAAATATCAAACACCTCCGATTTTTGTTTTAGAAAATAAACCCACGTTTTCTAGCTAAAATCATCAATAAAGAGAAGAAAATACCGGTTCTTACCAAATGATGGTGGGTCTATAGGGCCGCAAACATCCAAGTGAACATGTTGAAATGGTTTGGTTGCTAGCTCTTGAAATGAATTCTTTAGGAAAGCTCTTTCTTGCTTGCTTTTCAATTAAACATCCCTCACAAAGTTGATTAGGGTGTTTAATAAAAGACAATCATTTCACCATCTTCTTTCTTGACAACAAGGTTAGTTCTTCAAAATTTAAGTGCCCAAATCTCAAGTGTCATAATCAAGAAGAATATTTAACACATACTTTCAAGCATTTTGCCACATCATTTTGAATATGTAACAAAACCATTCTATTTCTTGTCATTGACACTTTAGTAACCAAATTTACATTTCCATCTCTTATTGAAAGATTATGATTTTTTATACAAATATCATAACATTTCTCTAAGAGTTGTCCCAAACTCAAAATATTATTTTTCATGTTTGACACATAGAAAAAATATTAGAAATAACTTAGTGTCTTCCATTCTTCAAACAAATCAAAACATTACCTCTTCCCATTACCGAAATTTGAGAAGAATCTCCAAAAGTGACTTTTTCACTCACCGATTCATCAAGCTCCGCAAACATCTCTCTTTATCTCTACACATATGATTACTAGCACTTGAGTCAAGGTACCACATGTTCTTGTCTCCCTTTTGCTCTTCTTTATATGCAAACAACAAGGTCGGCTCTACCTCTTCAACTTTGTTTTCAATAAAGTGTGTTTTTTCTTCCACAAAATTATTTCTACATTTGGAAGCAAAATGACTATATTGATGACAATTATAACATTAAATGTGAAATTTGTCATATCTCCCTCCATATGACTTTAAATTGTTGCCCCTTCCACATCATCTTCCACGATGTGATTCTTGACCTCTTTCTTATTTGTTGGACGCATTTTGACCAAAATTTTCTCCTCTACCTCGACCATGTTCACCATGACCTCCACGTCCACGCCCTCTACCTCTTTGACTTCCATCTTGCCTTCTTTCTTTTTCTTTGAAAGAAAAGCTTGGTTTGTAGCACTTTCTCCAACAACTCTTGCTTCTTTTTGCCTAGCTATTCTTCATGGGCGAACAATGATCCCATGAGTTCGTCAATCATTATTGTGTCTAAATCTTTAAACTTTTTAATGGCTACGATAATGTAGTTAAACTTGGGGTCCAATGAACGAAAGATTTTTTCTATCATCCGGGTATCATCATAGTGATCATCACCTTAAGTTCTCAAATTATTCACAACCACCAAGATTCTTGTGAAATAATCTGAAATTAATTTGGATTCCTTCATACGTAAAGCCTCAAATTCACCTCGCAGAGTTTGAAGGCAAACTTTCTTGACTTTTT